ATGCAACTAGGAAAAGACAAGAACCATTTAACAGATGGAACACTGGGGACTCAAAATGATTAGCTGGTTAACAGTCTAATAATCTTTTGATTGGAAAGCAGAACAATGTTTTGTCCCCAGTTTCACACAACCAGAGCAAGAGGGTTTTAGAGAAGGTTCCTCTATCCCAAGTAGACTCACTCCAACCAAGTAGTTGTTCTAATTTGAAAATGAAGGCGTCGGGCCCGGCAGCGTGGCCTAGTGACTAAAAGTCCTAGCATTGAACGCACCAGGATCCCATATGGACACCGGTTCTAATCCCATCCAGCTCCACTTCCCATCCAGCTCCCTGCTTGTGGCACAGGAAAGCAGTCAAGGACGGCCCAAAGCCTTTGGGATCCTGCATCCGTGTGGAAGACCTGGAGGAAGTTCCTGGCTCCTGGCTCTGGATCAGCACAGCACCGGCCGTGGCAGTCACTTGAAGAGTGAATCATCAGATGGAAGATCTTCCTCTCTGTCTCTCCTCGTCTCTGTATATCTGACTTTGTAATAGAAATAAATAAATCTTTAAAAAAAAAAAAAAAGAAAATGAAGGTGTCACTAAGGATTTCAAAAAAGTGAAAACTGTGTTAGCAATCCCAATTTATCAGCCAGCTTTGACTTGGTTACCTAAGAATGAGAAACTAGGTGGGCATTTTCCTTAAGTGGGAAAATAAGTAACTTCAGAGAGACATCTCGGGCAGGGTAGGCGGTGGGGGGGGCGGGGAAATGCTGAAATACACTGACTTTGCAATGACAAAGTTACAAACATTGATAGGACTTATTCATGAATTAAATGCCCTCACACTTAATGAGTACAGACAACCTGCTGTGACGAGATTTGCAGGTGTGGATTAAGCAAGAGCTTTTAAAACCTCTGACTTGGAACTCTGGGGGTATGAGAGGAAAACTTCAGTATTTTTCTTTAAGAAATATAAGGAGAAGGAAGCAAAATGTCGCACCAGGAAAAGCATTTGCTCTCTGACCAGTTAAATCTGGGTGTTCTGTAAAGGTATGTCCTTTATTTCACCTGCACAAGGGAGTATGAACGTGGGTCTCTCTTCCGGATTCTACTTGTTCTTTGCAGGAAGAACTACCGAATTAATGGATAAACTTGGCAAGAACTAAATGTATGTGTTAGATCAATTAAGTAAAGATCCCAACACGGAACAGAAACATTAGAAACTGTTCACAGACTCAATTACTATGTATTGTTGTAAGAGCACCTAAACATATGCAGGAGATAAGGTTCCAAAAACTACTGTGTATAGTGCACGTTTTCCTCAAGTCTGTTCAGTGGAACCCTGGAGTAAATCCTAACAGTAGAGTTCTGTATTAATGAGAATTTTGAGACACTAATTTAACTGTTTGCTAAAACCTTGGCTCTGTTCAAATTGTCTGAAAGCAAAGGCATATTGTACGGTAATAATATGATGGTACTGTCTCCCACTCCTCAAGTGCCTCCCATTATGGTTAGGTACCCACCAAGGCCAAGCCTACGGGACACCTAGACATGCTGCCAATTCAAAGAAATCAGTCAAGATGGCCCCTTATGCTGTCGCTCTGTCCCTAATATGACTAACAATAAATTGTAGTCATCCAATTCAGTCATCTTCCAACCAGAGGTGTGTTTATCAGAGATGGATCCATTGGTTTTCAGGGAGAAGTTCAATCAAATCAATGTTGGCCATTATAGAAATTATTATGAATTGGTTGCAAGCCTTCTCTGCCATTGATGTTGATATTGTGCAACTAAACAACCTAAGGAAATAAATGCCTGAAATACCAGACAAATCATCTTAGACTAGAGGCCAGCAAATTCTTTCTACAAAGGGCTAGACAGTGAAAATTTTAGCCTTTTTGTGCCATATGGTCTCCATCCCAACTCAATTCTGCTGTTGTCGCAAAAGCAGTCAGGGACCAAATGCAAATGGACAGACATGGCTGTGTTCCAATAGAATTTTGTCTACCAAAGCAGGCAACAGCCAGATATGGCTCATAAGCCATACTGGCAGACCCATGTTAAGACCCGTGGAAAATCTTGCTAGACCCTAGCACCCAAGAACATTTAGATGGTGGCTTTCTAATTACTCCATCAAAATATAGGAGGGAACTTAGCATGACCTATCCACTCAAGACAGGCCCACAGGAAGTTTTGAGTAAGAAAGATACAGTTACTTGTCAGGAAACCTGCTATCTCTCTCCTTGCATTCTCTGCTTTAGCTCGCTCTCGCTCGCTCTCTCTCTCTCACACACACAGACACACACACAAACTTTAGGTTCCCTGTTTTCTGGGCTTTAAACAATGTGGGAAAGTGAACATTGAAGAAGTTGCACATTTGCCTTGCTCCACCACTCATACTGTTCCCTCTGAGGCTGCTAACTACCTTAGTAGATGCTAATTCTCATCCACATGGCACAGGCAAGACCAGGTGCAGGAGCCAGGGAAACGATCTGCAGGTGGAGCACCTTCTTTACCTGATTGAGCAGTCAAGCAAATCTCAAAATCCATGATTGGGGCTTAAAGATTTCCACTTTTCTGCGCCAGCAGTTCTCACCTTTGTCACGCTAGTTTCTGATTTTTAACCAAAGCCAGTATTCACATTCAGTTCACAAAGGAGGGTCATGGGCAGGTAGGGAGGAGGCAACGTTTACAAAGCGAATGTTTTCTTAACCCTTTCCAGAACCCCATGGTACAGTCATTTCAGCTCATGCCTCGAGGGTGTTTTGTGAAAAAAGAAAGTGCCTTTTCAGCACTCTTGGTGTCTGATTTCAAGCCCTGCCCTTCCAATGGTGATGTGAAGTAGGCAGGCTGATGGTGCTGTCCTGTCTTCACTGCTTTTCCCACAGGGTTTAATCACTCAGGTCCCTCCCTGCCACACACTTGGGTTCTAAATGCCCTTGAAAGCTCCAAAGGATAATGAGAGGCATTTCAGTTAGGTATTCATCTGAACATGTGGAAATGTATAGCCCAGTTACTCCATGATAAGCTTACAGTATGGTCTCCCTCATGATAAAGCTTTGGGTACCTGACTGGCCTCCTGAGCATGAGCAGAAAGCATCCCCATTAAAAAACATTCACCTCTTATAAAGTATTAAAGGAGAGAGAAGGCAGTGTGCAGCCCAGGAGGAGGAACATGGCAGCTTATGTGTGCAGGGGAGCAGCCCACATCTCAGATGCTGCTGCACAACCAATACAATCAGAGCATTTTGGTGGCACCGTTGTGGACTTCCTAAAGTTATCTTTTCTAAATGTTGTTTTTACCCCATTTTTCAGATGAGAAACCTAAGGACTGAAGAAAAGAAAAAATGACTTTCCCATTAGAAGGTACACTGAGGCAGCACTCCCTCCAGGGGTCCAAACCAATTCAGCTCCAAATCTCAGTGAAACGGTTCAATATACCTTGACAATAGGATGCTGGATTTTCTACCTTTGTCTATACCTACAGTGTCATGATGCACTTAAATAGCAGACCGTTAAACTTGCAGCTGTTATTAAAGGACTATGCTATTATGATAATCTAGGAGAAAATGGTGAGACAGGGAAACGGGGAGAGAGGAAACCAAGGGAAAAGGAGGAAACCCTGTATCTACAAAACTGTAATCATAAAAATAATCAAAAAAGATTTTAAAGGGCACATGGATGCTCAGAGGCCCCCCAGGAAAGGCATCATGAGTCACCTGCTCTCATCAGCATTGTTTCCCTTCCTCAGCAAGGATAGAGTCTCGCTTTCTCCTCCTGGTAAGAGTTGCTCACTACCCATACTAGAATATTCTTAATTATGTTGGAAGGAAACCATTGCTCTCAAACCCAAACATTTTATTTAAAAAATATCCTGCTGGTATCAAACAATACCACACTTCTCAGAAATTCTGAAGTCACTCCTCCATGAACAAACTCAATCCCTCAGAATTCACGTGAGAAACAAAAGGACAAGATATTTGTGATAAAGTGACTTGAGGTAGGTTTTCACCAGTGGAAGTTGTATTTTCAGAACTTTGAGGAGTCTAAAAGAATATCTTTTCACAAAATACTGTCTAATTTACCCTTTTCTAAAAATAGAGATTATCATACATTAGACTTGCTTGAGGCAAGCACTGCTTTTAAAAGGAGCAAGGTTTTGTTTTGTTTGTTAGAGGTATTTCGGTTTTTGGATTTCTTTTGGGGGGAGGGCAATATTTCTTGCTTAAGGAAATTAAGGCTCAACTCTCACGAGCAGGTGCCTTTATTTACCTCCTGAAAGGAGCTTTGTAGATAATCTTTGTATGACTTCAACTATTACTAACACAAGTCTCTGTTCAATCCACATAATGGAAAATAAAGTTCACAGTTGTTCCACCCAACTCCAGGGATAGAAGTCAAGGTCAAAGATAAGCCTTTTGCCTCTTGTAGTGGGACACACAGGCCATGTCACAGTAAGAAAGAATGACGAGGGGCCAGACAGGGAGGTGAGGGAGGACCTGTTTCATAAACACAGCTTTCCACTGCATCCCAAGGCTTCATCAGAAGCGAGCAGCACCCTCGGTGGAAAGCTAAGGCACTTGGCTAGCAAGCTCCACACAGTTCCACAGCAGGCTAAAAGGTGGCTGCTGCCAACACTGAAGCCTCCTGTGCAAGCTGCACTACTTTCCCCTCTCGGCCCCAAACCCCCTCTCACACTGGGCTTTGGTCTTGTGAATCATCAGCTGCCCTTTCTTCACCACAGTGATTCATGCACAAAAGCGAGGATGCGATGAGCTGTCCCTCCTTGGAACGTGTGCGCTTTCCCCTCAAACCTGGAAACTCAGCATCACCTCTCACAGTTTGGTTTCTCCATCAGGCTCCATTCTGCCCACTCTGCCCTCCCCGCTCCCCAAAGCCTGGAACTGAACACTGAGCCCTCTACAGCACCAGCAGCTCGCCTAGTCTGGGCCACCTCGGTATCTCCCCCGGCCCTTGCCTGCGCTAACTTGGCTCTGACAGCCACAACCAAACCACTTACGTTTTTGCCAGAGCATGGCCTGTGACAGGATGTTGCCTTTTCTCTTTGAAGCAGACAGTTTGGCTTCTTTAATGTGAGACCTGGGTGTGCTTTCCTCCAGTGGAGCCACCGTTTGCTCTGAGGCTGTTTCCTGGGCTTTTTAAAGGCCCAAGTTCCCGCTGCGTGGGGCTGCGTCATCACATCCTCCCACCTCAGGCACGGGTGCACTGCGTCTTGCGCAGTGCTGGCTTGCCTGTCCCCCCACTGTGTGCGTCCTCCGAGACCCACCAGCTGCACAGCACTGCACGCACACAGCCAGCCAGCTGGGACCAAACCTAGCACAGAGGCCATGGCCGCTTGCACACAGCCACAGGGTGTGAGGTGCTGTGGCTGTGTGTGTCTGTGAGAGAGGGAAGTTGTGACAAGTGCAAATGGTGTGGGTACCAGGCTGAGTCTTGGATCTTTTCATACCAGGGAAGAACCCCAAGTTCCCTCTGGAAAAGGATTTTCTATGGTGTCCATGCAGGCTTCCACACCAGGGGCATGCTGGCAGGACTCAGCCTGCCTTGGGTGCCTGCTCAACAGGAAATGCAATTCCCAAGGGTCACTGATTCTCAACCCAGGAGGAAACACCTGTCATCTCTTCAAGCCTCACTAAACAACCTCCTCATTCTTTTAATATTGCTTTTCTGTTTATTCCATTTTAAAACACAACGGCCCCTCTTGTGGCCCCCCAGCCACCACCAAAATGGCAAGGCCTACTCTTGCTTAGATATGAGGGGGGGCTGGAGGAGACACCTGTTCTGATGGTCAAGATACCCAAAGAGAAAGGAGAAAGGCACCCATGCTCCCACTGGAGTTGGCTCTCAACGCGGATGTGTAGGGTAGTAGGAACAGAGCTGGCCGGAAGCTCCTCAAAGGAAAAGAAAAGAAAGGCTTGGACCCCTGGCAGTGATGTTCTGTCTGTGCCCAGGCCGCCCCAGTGTGGCAGCCTTCTGCTACTTTGCATCTAAAATCCACATACTCCTTAGGCTCTTGTGACTCCATCAGTTTGGAATTCAGGCCACTTGGGTTCCCAAAGCAAGTCAGGGACCTTAGTTCTGTGCCCTCCATGTGCCTGGGAGAAATCTTGTAGACCCCACATTTTATGTTTACAAAAATCTCTACCTGCACGGAGCTATAGGCATAGGAGGTCCTTACCACTGAACCCTGGCCTTCACCTCCAGCCTTATCTCCTACTGCCCTCTTTTTTTGGTCCCTGTATCTTCTAAGCATGACTGCACATCTGTTCCCTGCCCTTGACTGTTTTCCTTTCTTGCTGGGTTCCTTTCCCTATTTCCCCACCTACAAATCACTTCTCCATTTATCAAGCACCAATTCACAAAGAATGTGTTTGGATGACAAAAAGATTCTGACCCCTCTGAAATCTCCTAGCCCAGAAAATATCCCCCCCTCCCTTTTCTTGGCTCTTGGAACACTTTGCTCATCACATAACAGGTATGTCTATGGGTTTCTTCTGACACCTTGGTGCCTCACCCAGGACCACCTACACAAGCCTGGATACCGCTCCCCCCACCCCCCAGTAAATGTAAATGTAATAAAGTTATAAAGGGATTGCTGGTTTGTGGGCACATCATAAGGTGAAATCATATTTCCATAAACAAGTCACTCACAAAACATAGAAGGCTGCTTCCTAGCTGAGTGGTGATGAACTTTTGCCCAAAAGCCTCTGAACTTCAGGACAGTAGGGAGCCCTGAGTGCAGAGGCTGTAGCATCTTGCACTGGCCTGGAACACAGCAGGTCACAAGCCTGACGCCTCCCCAGGATGCCTCCACTGGAAATGACGGTACATCCAGTGGTCCTGGCTCAGTCCTAAATGATGTGAGTTCCCATCACAGCTCTTTCACTCATTGGCCATGTCCCCTTAAACAAGTCATATGACTATTCTTATCTCTGTTTCCATGTTTACATGGCAGGTCTCTGAACATCTCACAGTTTCTTAAGGAGATATATGACTTTGCTCATCCAGACATATATCACATTGTATTTTAGTTATCTGTTTCATTTGCTTTAAGTCCAGGAAATTAAGATATTTATTAGTCATTTCTGTTTCTTCTCAAAGGCATAATGATTTCCATGAATTAATAATGACTTTCCATGCACCAGGTTATATGTAAATATACTATCTACTCTGGTCTGTACAGAATACATTTGTGAAGATATTTTTATTTTGTTATTCAGAGAAACAAATGCTTACATGATTTAACTTGCCCAATTTCACAGGGCTATTAAGTGATAAGCTAGGTGTCAGATTCAGCTCATCCAATAAGACTTAGATATCTAAATAATAAACTGAAAGTACCAGTACCAGGCTGTTTTGATAACTACCGCCCTGTATGTCCGAAGATCTGAGATTGTGATCCTTCCTGCTAGGTTCTTATTCTTCAGGATGGTTCTGGCTGTTTGTAGTTCTCTGTGTTTCCAGATGAACCTTTGCATCAGTTTTTTCCAGCTCTGTGAAGAATGTTCTTGGTAGTTTGATTGGAATCACATTGAATGTATATATTGCTTTTGGTAATGTGGACATTTTGAGGATGTTTACTCTGCCCATCCAGGAACATGGTATGTTTCTCCACTTTCTGAAGTCTTCTATTTCTTGTCTTAATGTTTTGTAGTTTTCCTCGTAGATATCTTCTACAATCTTTGTTAGGCTTATTCCCAGGTATTTCAATTTCTGCTCTGTTATTTTGAAGGGTACCATGCTGGTTAGTTCTTCAGCCTCGGGACTATTTGCATACACTATGGCTGTTGATTATGATGTCAAATCTAAAGATCTTACATGTGAATCTTACCTTATGTCATTTCATACTTACCCGTACCTTTTGTAATAAGAACTTTTGATGTAATTCATTAATCAACTATCCTTAAGTGACATTGTTTATAATTACCTGAGATGGTCAATGTCCCTTTTATCACTGTTATTGGTATTGGCCATAAATAATGAAGATCTAGTCCTCATTATACCTTCAGTAGGGCCCTGGGATACAAGAATGAACCCACAATGAAATGACTGACAGTCTCCTAAATGGTTGGGAGACACTCCAGGGGCAGCATGATGGACTTCAGAAAATTCACAAAAGACACCCACTGTGACACTGGAGGGGAGAACGAGGGTGGGGCGGGGGACGATTTGTGGGAGGGGAAAGGGAGACCCTAGCGCCATCTAAACTGTATCCAAAAAACCATAAAAAATGTTATATAAAAATAATAATAACCTGAAAGATACTCATTGAGTTGAAATCAGAGAAAACCAAATGCCCACCTCACTGGCTATGCTACAGAATCACTGTGGTAAGGCTCAGAGCAATCAATAGAAGTTTACATTTCCTGGAATAAACCTCTGTCCTCTGTCCTCCTGAAAGAGTGAAGGAAAAGAAGAAGCCTGGATGTACTCTGACAAATCAGTTCTTGACACAGCCAATGAAATTTAAAGACAACTGACAACAAGAGAAAATTATAGAGGCTTATTGGAAAAAGAGTGTATTCACAACTAACCAATATGAATCAAATTGACAATCTCTTTAATAGCCAAGTCAGATGCAAACATACAATAAACAAGTATTTTTTAAATGTTGAAGAAAAAAAGCACTGGATTTGTAATTTTCAATTCAGAGAAACTGACATTTCTTAAAGGAGAAAAATGCAAGTTAAATATCCTTAATCCAAAATGCTTAGAAAGAGAAAAGTGGATTTCAAGTTGTATAACATGTGTAATACACATCATGAAAAGCCATGGGGATGGAACCTAAGTCTAAATACTAAATTCGTTTGTGTTTCACAGAATTTCCTAATTCCTGGTTTCCATCCAGCCCTAGCCATCCAGCCCTAGCCCTGGGATTATTTGATGAGTCAATACACATAGCTGGAAGGTAATTTTATATAATAGCCTAACTTTATTTTGACTATAAGGTCAGGTGTGAAACTGCCCACTTGTGGCATCATGTTGGTGCTCAGAAGTTTTGCATTTGTGAGGATTCTGAATTTTGGATTTTCAGATTCAGGATTCTCAACCTACATATCTATCAGTAAACTGAAGAACTCAAAGAGGAAAATAAACATAAGTACACATATGAGATAAGGTAAACCACCATTTCTGTTCTTGCTATAAAAACAGAAACACAGTATCATTTTCAAGCAACCAGACAAAGCTGGATCCTTCCATAGAAACCAAGGAGGAGTTTCTTTAAAAAGAAAACAATAAATGGGAAGCAGAAATATGATAATGGAGTAAGTCTTAACAGTATAGTATCTGTAATTATTATAATTGTTATTATAATCTATAATTATTATAAAAAGATTAAACTCAACAATGAAAAGTCAAAGAATCCTGAATTAAATTTAAAATTTTAGAAAGGTCCAAGAGTACGTCATCATATTCTTAAATTAAAAGAACGTAAGAAGTTTGCAAGTAAAATGTTGCTGCAATTTTGATCATAGATTTTAAATATCAATTTTGATATTTTAAAAAGTTGATATTTAAAAAAAAACACCTGGAGGCCAGGGGCTAACATTGTGGCATAGCACATAAAGCTGCCAGCATTTCACATAGGTATCAGTGTGAGTTCCAGTTATCCTACTTCCAACACAGCTATGTGGTAACATGCCTGGGAAAGTAGCAGAAGATGGCTTACATCATTGGAACCCCTTCAGCCATGCTGGAGACCTGAAGGAAGCTCCTAGCTCCTAACTCTTGGTTTCCATCCAACCCTAACCACTACGACCATTTGGGGAGTCAAAGAACAGATGGAAGATCTCTTCCTTTGTGACTCTACTTTTCTCACACTCTCTCTATAACTCTATCTTTCAAAAAAAATAAACTTAAAAAAAAAAACCTGTAGGCCATTTAACTTGTGAGCATAAGTTTGAAAATGTTAGTGTAGGGCCTGGCGCATGGCCTATCAGCTAAAAGTCCTCGCATTGAACATGCCAGGATCCCATATGGGCACTGGTTCTAATCCCATCCAGCTCCACTTCCCATCAAGCTCCCTGTTTGTGGCCTGGGAAAGCAGTCGAGGACAGCCCAAAGCCTTGGGATCTGGCACCTGTGTGGGAGACCTGGAGGAAGTTCCT